AGGTCTTGCGAGTATCAGGGTCGAGATGTCTTCGCTGGCCGCAGTGAATTCCTGTTGACAGGGGGTGGAACTGGAACTGGCCTCGAACTGTGGAAGATATCTAAGCCTAGTGAGGACAGGTGCTTACCTTTTCTGGTTATTCTTGGAGACAGCAAAGCAGAGTTAGAAGCAGGAAGCTATGTCGGGGTGTAGTCCTGGAGGTCTTGCGAGTATCAGGGTCGAGATGTCTTCGCTGGCCGCAGTGAATTCCTGTTGACAGGGGGTGGAACTGGAACTGGCCTCGAACTGTGGAAAAGCCAAAAGTGGAGATTAACCAGTGATGTCAAATTGATGACAGTGACAAATTTCTGTCCTTTGGAGCGTCAGAAATTACAGTAAATGAAGTGCATTGAAGAGTAAAGTGATATATTACCTGGATATATTGAAGGTATTTATTATCTGACATTATTGCAGCCAATGCATCCAAAGTGTGGCAGGTTCCAGATAATTTCGCACCAAATTAGAGTTGTGGGAGCTGTTGGCCTGCGGCATGGTCACCAAGGATGAACCTGAAGGAATAGGTAGATGTTATGAAAAGGAGAACATTTTACAAAAAATCATAAATTGAAAATAAATTAGACATGGAAAATGTCTCAGGCTGGTAAAAACAGTTGCTTACCTTTTCTGGTTACTCTGAGACAGCAAAGCAGAGTTAGAAGCGGAGTCCAATATCAGGTTGGAGAGTCCTGGAGATCCTACAGGGATTGGAGTCGAGATGCCTTAGCTGACCCAAGTGGGCTGATGTATGTTGACGGGGGTCCTGGAGTCGAGATGTCCTCGCTGACCGCACTGAATTCCTGCTGACAGGGGTGGTACTGGAACTGGCCTGGAACTGGAAAAGCAAGTGGAGAAACGAGCATATCTGGAACATAGCAAATTAACTGAAATTCGTTCTACTGGAGCTGAAACGTTGGCTAGAGGATGTCCCGCGGAGGCGCCGGTGGGGGTGCGGGGCGGGCGGCTGCTGCAGCTGACGAGTGCAGGCGTGTCTCAAGGTTACTCTGGAACAGGAACGAAACTTGATTAGAATCATTATTCCAAATTAATATCCAATAAGCCAACTAGAAGCCACAACAAATAACAGCTTCCGCTTACTCGCAGCGTAGACGACCATGAAGACACGGGAGCGGCCCTCCGCGGCGACGAGGCCGCGGTGACCTGGTGGTGGTGACGCACAGCTTGGCTCTCCCAGGGTGGAGTCCAGAGCAGAGAAGGCGGCTGAGGTCTCGACGGGCGGGGCAGCTGCGTGAAAGTCAAACAGAAAACACGGTATTAACTCTGGTTCCTACGTGTGGTTGCAATAAGCGATCAGTTTGCCCTCGTGATCCCCCGGTCACTATGTAATAAAAACACCCGCACAGCTATAGCTGCGGCCGACACACTGCCCTGGTGGCTGCGACTCAGCGCCGGTCCCGCGGGGGGGAGGGGGCCTAGGGGGGACACCCGCGGGGTCCAGCGGGTGCAGGCCCAGGAGGCGCGCCAGCCAGCAAGCAGTGGGGCGATATCAACGAACTGACCAGGGCCACTACAAGCGGGCCAAATGAGGAACAAGATGCTTTCCAAACGTACCTGTGCGGTCTGCTGACCACGGCCATCAGCGTCTAGGAAGGGGCTCGTCACGGCAAAACCGAGATGTCTACTGGAACATAAACACAATATAATTAGTATTCAAGTAGAGTCAACAGTCACAAACCAGACGAGTGAATTTCTCCTCTAAGCTGGAACAGTACCTAGATTGTTAATCCCATAAAGTCCAACTGCGGCGGCGGCGGCGGCGGCGCGCACTCCGAGTCCGAGGCTCAGCAGCGTAGCGGCCGACAGCGGTGGTGCTTCCCCGCGACTGCGAGCGAGACGCGGAGACAGCTCAGCAGCACAAGCCGAGTCGAGACGGAGTCAAACAGCAGCGGGGGCCAGGCTAGCGCTAGGACATAATATAGGAAATTAGGCTTAACACAAAGCATGACGACGTTCTAATGGGACACACGACTGACCTTGAAGAGTGAAGAATGTTCTCCAAAGTCTTCGTTAAGTTATGAAATTTAAAATATGTAATAAATCGCGGTTGATAAAACTTTAAATGATATCGCGGTTGAAAAATATTTTAATTATATCGCGGTTGAAAAAAACTTAAAATTAAATGGTAATCCAATTTAATTCCGGATCCCGAAGTGAGCGAAATAATCAGTTATTTAACATCGACGAGCGATCGTGGAAAATGAACACGGACTGCAGCAAAACAACGGCGCGAAAGGACTCGAGAGCATTGTTCGACAATGCAATATGCAGTCATAGCTTTGTTGTGTATTGGAGATGAGTACCCTTTGGAAGTGTTATTAGCCCCCTAGTAAAGTTAAAGTTACGTATCGCTAAGTAGACCTGAAACCTTAAAAGAAATGGGTGCCGTACTGGGCTTTAAAGAAGCGATTGTACACAAACTCTAGCGGCGAACGACGAGGCCTACCTTTGGCAGCGGCAGCGGCATGAGCTGCGACCACGCCGCCACCTCAGCGCTCGCCCAGCTGGATGCGGTGGATGCGCTGGGGCTGGGAGTCGACTTGGACGGGGCATCCGGCGGCCGGAGGACATCGTGGGCTTCTCTCGCTGGCGATGCACCTGGAGTTCTTGCTGGCGATGCACACGAGGGGATACACAAACCGAAGGGGCCGGGCTGTGGTCCGCGGGCGCGGACCACGCGTTTCGCGAAAGACTGCGCGGGGCACGAGAGGGCATTCCCTGCGCGAGCCTCTGCACGGGCGCACGGGCGCGTCCAAACAGCAGCCGACGTGGGCGCTAGGTACACCGAAACATCGGTGCCGACCAAATAGGCTCGATGTAGAAGACGTTTGAATGCCGAGCGAGGCCCACAGATCTGCAGGGCGATTCCGCGCGGTGTTTATAGTCGCGCCCTCTCCCTCCTGGTGGCAGCGGAGTGCGACAAGGACGGAGAGAACAAAACACCGTGCGGAACCACCCTCCTGGCGAAGACGGCGGTCAGGCAGCCCGGTTATATCGCTCACCGTTACGCATCCGCGCCAGGCGAGCCGGGGTAGCACCAGGCACCAAAGGGCTTCTACCTCAGTCAAAAGGTAGAAAATAAGACCTGCCGCGGAGGCGGAGCGCGGGGCGCGCGGCGGGGCGAGCCGGCGCAGTGTCTGCTAAACAGCGACAAATCAAGCCACACGGGGCGGCACGGCTTGGCGATCGCTTCACTCCGGCTCAACACAGATTGAAACGCCTTATTTACCTCGCTTGTTCGTCCCAGAACCGGAGATTAACCAGCAAACCTGAGGTGAAAAAGTGAGGGAAAGAAAATCGCCAAAGTCGGAATCAAAACAAAACCCGAGGGGCGCGTGGGCCACGGCGGGGCGCGCAGCCGTGTGTGGTGACAGGTGACATAGTACGGGTGCAACAACAGAACAGTCAAATGAGCCACACGGACGGGGCCGGCGCGACTTCGCGATCATTTTCACTACCGTTCAACGCCTGTTGAAACGCCATTTTGACGTCACTTGTTCATCCCAGTGCCAGAGATAGACCAGCAAATCTGAGGTGAAAAAGTGACCAATGGCAACATACACGAAAATCGGAATCAAAAACCGGGCGCAAGGGAAGGGAGTCGCGGAAGCCACGAGGCTGGAGCGGAGTGCGGGGGCGGTCTTCATCTTCACGTCGAGCTGATGATGTGATGCGATGCGGCACGGTAGACGCGAGCAAGCTAAGCGCGGCGCGACCCAAACTTCGACAAGACGGACTTGACTTGACAAACGGCGTACAGGACGGATCGCGAAGTCTTGATCTTGAACTCTTCTGGGGCCGGCTGGCGCCCACGAGCCAGGTGGGACCGCGGGCTCGAACCGAATGAACGATGAACAACAGGGAGCTC